GGCTGGCGGGTTTCACTGCAAATGTCACCTCCAGCTAGTGGTGACTTGGTAGAGTATTGCACCAAATCTCAGACACCAGTGATTGTAAGATGCCATTTTATGTGCTCTTAGGAAAAAAAATGTTGCCAATTAAATTGTGAGCAATTGCTTTCTTATTAGTTAGAATTTTTATTTATACTTTTTTGATAAAGCCTTTTTAGACTTATTTAGACATAGTGCTGTGGGGTTTATTTTAACATACATGTCTCTCATTCATTCTTAAAGTGGAGAGTAATAGCAAAATAAACTGGCGGTGGTCTTCCTAAGCTTTTTCATACTCACAGTGTTATTCATCTGAGGCATTTTTGACTTGGAGTTATTGATGTCTGTGTTTCCCACACAGTGCCTTCTCTGTACCGTCAAGAGCATTGGTGAGGGAGCATTTCTTACAAGAATTCTCTTGACTTTCTCCCAAATCTTGACACCTATTACTGTGTAAATTGACGTGCACACAGGTAATGACAACCACAGCACAAGAACTACCTGGCAACAGTGACTGTAAGACGCATCCCAATTTCCAGGGTGTCAAAAGTGAAAAAATACATCTCAGACTCAATGAAATATGACAGACTCAGTCAACATGNGGCTGGCGGGTTTCACTGCAAATGTCACCTCCAGCTAGTGGTGACTTGGTAGAGTATTGCATCAAATCTCAGACACCATTGATTGTAAGATGCCATTTTATGTGCTCTTAAGAAAAAAAATGCTGCCAATTAAATTGTGAGCAATTGCTTTCTTATTAGTTAGAATTTTTATTTATACTTTTTTGATAAAGCCTTTTTAGACTTATTTAGGCATAGTGCTGTGGGGTTTATTTTAACATACATGTCTCTCATTCATTCTTAAAGTGGAGAGTAATAGCAAAATAAACTGGCGGTGGTCTTCCTAAGCTTTTTCATACTCACAGTGTTATTCATCTGAGGCATTTTTGACTTGGAGTTATTGATGTCTGTGTTTCCCACACAGTGCCTTCTCTGTACCGTCAAGAGCATTGGTGAGGGAGCATTTCCTACAAGAATTCTCTTGACTTTCTCCCAAATCTTGACACCTATTATTGTGTAAATTGACGTGCACACAGGTAGTGACAACCACAGCACAAGAACTACCTGGCAACAGTGACTGTAAGTCACATCCCAATTTCCAGTGTGTCAAAAGTGAAAAAATACATCTCAGACTCAATGAAATATGACAGACTCAGTCAACATGACTGCCATGATCAGCTATGCATGTCTGCCTGGGAATGGGGTTGACATTGGGCCTGCATTCTTGTCACTAAGCAATAATTTGCTCCCATATAATTTGCAAAACTGAATGGTTTCCAGTGTGACAGCAGTAGTGAGGAATTCTCCATGAGCTAGAGGCGGGAAGGTTTTATGCATGAAGTGGATCTAAAAAGGTAAGACCTGGCCTGGACAAGAGGAGACCACTTCCAGCAGAGGAAGAGCATGAGCACAGTTCAGAAGGTTCAAAAGAGTAAATAAGCATGTCATGTGGAGAGGAAAATGGGGCAACCAGGCTCGGGTGGGGGGTAGCTACGGACTTGTGGGATATGAAGTCATGAGTTTTTGCTCTAAGGACATAAGTTCACTTGTGTGTGTGTTTTCACTTGTGGACACATAATGAACAGTTCTTGTATTTCTATAACTTTTATTTCTTTCCTTACCATAGGTCCCGATGTTTTTAGTTCAAAGAGTCTTGCCCTTCAAGCCCAGAAGAAGATTCTGAGCAAAATAGCCAGCAAAACCGTGGCCAACATGTTGATTGACGACACCAGCAGTGAGATCTTTGATGAGCTCTATAAAGTCACCAAAGAGCACACTCACAACAAGAAGGAAGCCCACAAGATCATGAAAGACTTAATCAAAGTGGCAATCAAAATTGGGATCCTCTACCGGAACAACAAGTTCAGCCAAGAGGAGGTTGTTATCGTGGAGAAGTTCCGGAAGAAGCTGAACCAGACCGCCATGACCATCGTCAGCTTCTATGAGGTGGAATACACCTTTGATAAGAATGTGCTGTCCAAGCTCCTGCACGAGTGCAAGGACCTGGTGCATGAACTGGTGCAGCGACACTTGACGCCCAGGACCCACGGGCGCATCAACCACGTCTTCAACCACTTTGCCAATGTGGAATTTCTCTCCACCCTCTATAGTCTGGATGGAGACTGTAGGCCTAACCTCAAGAGGATCTGTGAAGGAATCAATAAACTGCTAGATGAGAAAGTCCTTTGAATGCCTTCCCTCCTCCTGGACTTGGCTGCTTTAAAGTTATAGCACCCAACACGGTCCGGGTGAGAATCAAGAAAACAAGCAGAAACCCTTGTCAAAGATGTCCATGTTCTGTTCTGTTCATCCTTCTGATGCTGATTCTAAACTGAGTGCGGGTGTGTTTATCCCCTGAGCGTTATCTGATGAGGTCTGCACCTAAAGTCACCTTCAAGCCTAAAGGACATTTCATCTATTCTATTCATCTTGTGGAGTGGAAGGAGCCCTGGACCAGGAGCCAGAGGACATAGATTCGGTTCCCAGCTCCACCAGTGACAACTCTGTCCTCTCTATCCTGCAATCACATGATGCCTGCCTGCCTACTTCACAGCACTGTTGTGAGGATTGAATGAGATGATGTATGTTCATGCTTTTGAAAATATTAATGTAAGGTCTTAATATTTTCTGTTCTGAATGTAAGAGGAATAAACCTGGAGCTAGGCTATTAAACAGCATAGAAGAAAAGAACAATAGAATCTAATGGGCTAGGTTTGCAATTTGTCTCTAAATGTGCTGCCTCAAATGAGATAAAATGAAATCCAAAGGTGTGAAAAAGTATGGCTACCAATTGAAAAAATGTTTTTCAAGAGTTGTGTTTTTTAGGTCTTAGAGGTGCAGGGTTATGATTCTGTGGAGGGAAACTTTCCACGGGGGGTAGGAAGAGAGTTTTTCACCCGTAACACAGAAGCAGAGGAGCACTGTGCTCCCCCTGCAGGACCAGCCTTCCCTCCTCTAAAGGGCAGCCACTCTGTGGCAGGGGAGAGTCAGGCAGAATGAACCCCTATCTGTCTTTCTTGGCCTTTCACAGTCATTTTGTGCTGTTTTCTGTGGTTCATTAATAAATCAAAACTACCCTTCAAACAAGAGGTCTTGGAGTTGTGATTCAAAATAAAATTCACTGGAGTTAGATCGTGTTAAGAATAATGGGATTGGAAGGAAGAAGAAAAGGAAGAGCAGGACTCTGCACTCAGACCCCCAGGGGACGTAGCCCCAGGGAGCTCACACAGTGGGGAGCGATGTCCATTGAGCCTACGTTGGCCAGTCAGCCTCAACGGGCTCCCATGTCAACATCAGTGCAAGCTGTCCAATTAAGTTCTTCAGCCACAGCACCCAGAATTAGTTCATAGGAAGGACATCTGGTACAGGATGTCATATCCTCCATATTTGACAAGCACAGCCTGTCCCCTCTTCTCAGATGCGAGGGCTAAATGATGATGCCCTGTGCGTACCGAGGCTGGGCTGGTTGCTGCTCATTTGGCAGTGCTGGTGGGGGCTGCAGGCAGCGGGCTCCTCTTCCTTCCCAGCTGCCTGCTAGGCACTGGTCCAGCAGTAACTGGATTTTCACC